TCTCATAGATCATTAGCATAGGCCAAATTTAAACTCAGGTCCTGTGATTCCAGTCAACACTTGTACAATTGTACTACAATTCTTCCCTACAATTAGTTCACAGGAATTAGACTTGGAATGTACTTTCAGGTATCATCATTTCAAGAAAAGGTAAAGGAGTCTCAGAGAAACTGTCTTTTCCAAGGTCACAGGGACAATGAGTAGAAGAGACAAGATTCAAATACAGTTTCTTAGACTATAAACCCAGGAAGCTTTCCACTCTGCCACTACTGGAAACTGCATATGCCTATTTCACTAGTATCTCAAATTCAAGATGTATAAACCGGAACTTATTATCTGCCACCTCCTTGATAATCAGAGCCTGTCTTATAGTAGATTGGTTCAACATCTAGATACTAGACAAACACCCAGAGAAAAGGCAAGGAATTAAGGGAGGTCCAAGAAGCAAGAGATAGGAAGGAGTCCAAAATAGATCAAGAAGACTATTATCATGAGAGGGTCAGCAATACACACATGTTGGCTGGTAAGTGGAGTAGAATGTTGAAGATTCTGGCTGTAGATAATGAGAAGAAAATCTATACAGGCAAGCAACTATCATTAAGTGGGTTAGCTCTAGAAGTGGTGAGAAAGGATCCAGTTATAGGGACTGGTACTCAAGAGAATAAGTCTGTCAGTCAATAAACATTTTTTAAGAACCTACTATGTGCCAAACACTGTGCTAAGTGCTGGGGATACAAAGAAAGACAAAAGACAGTGCCTATTTTCAAGGACTTCAGAGTCTAATGAGAGAGCAATATGCAAAAACCCACATAAAAGCAAGTTATATACAAGATAAATTGGAAAAAAGTGATAAAGGGAAGGCACTAGCATTAAGGGAGAATAGGAAAGTTCCTCTATAGAAGGAAAGATTTTAGCTGGGAATTGAAGGAAACCATGGAAACCAGGGGGTAGAGATAAAGGGGAAGCATTTCAGGAATGGAAGACAATCAGTGAAAATGCCTAAAGTCATGAGAAGGAATGTCTTGTTCAAGGAATAGCACGGAGGCCACTGCCACTGGATTGAGGAGTATATTTGGGGTATAAAATTTACTGAGAACAACATAGACTGGAATTGATGAAATCATAGCTCCATCAAAGTACTAATATATTGTATCCTTAGTTGAAATCCAGCTTATTTTTTTCTTCTTGACCTTTTTAATGGCATCAATAATAGCAATGTTCACTTAAAAGGAAATGGTAATAACATTGTTCATTTTATGTGTAATGTTTTTCTTTTCATTCCTTTGTTATTCTTGTTTGTACTTGGTCCAAAATAAACAGTTCAGAGAATAATGATTAATATTGTAGATTAAAGATAAAAATTCATATCTTGGGCAACTGATTCTATTCCTTTTTTTAAATTAATGTCCAAACTCATTTGAAAGTTATCTATAAATCAAAGGATTTCTGGGGGAAGATGACCCCTATTTCCATTCCTTCTGATTCTTATCCTTAAGTCAACTATTGCTGCTCTTTCCTTACCCCAAACCCAATCCCAATTTCATTGGTGACTGGCTATTATCTCAGGGGAGATTGATTGATAAACCTGATTGATAACCCTAGACTTCATACCATTTGTCTTCTCAGATATCCAAGCACCCTCCATCCCCAACCAGTTCCTGTTCCGTTCTGTCATCATGCTGAATCTCTGATTTTAAGCTTTCATACTTACAATTTTGGTCATCTAGGAACTTATCTTCCATTTATAATATAGTTGTAATGGTTGACCAAGAGCTTTCCTTAAAATCAAGTTCTCATAAAATTGATTTATAATGTTAGGAGAGGTATCCTCGTATAAGAAATGTTTTGTATGCATAGTACAGACCATCTCAAAACTCATTAGTATTAATTCCAATTTATAGATTAACTGGGGGCATTATTCTTGTATATCATTTATTGAAAACCAATGTAATTAAGTCTCTTCTAGTTCTGATGCTCTATAGTTCCATTATCTTATTTTACAAATACTTGAAGGATCTATGATTTCTTCAGCATAATGATCTCTAAAAGTGAAAATTCTCCTGGTATGAGACTTCTCTTTCAATTATCACAGATTGATAATTTATGAATGAAAGCATTTATTAAATGCTTACTATGTGACAATCACTTGCTAAGCCCTGAAGATACAACTAGAAAAAGCTAAACTCCAAAGGAGCTTATAGTATAATTGGAGAAGACAATATATAAAAGTAAATTCAGCTGCAGGGCAGATGGAAAAAACACAGAAGTCCTAATCCTTCAAAAGAGGAACTATTGGCAAGACCCAGGCATGCTTCGGTTACATCAAGTAGGCCAGATATGACAGTGAGTTGGGCATGCAAGATATGAGACAGAGATGTTATAGCCTACACAGTTGCAGGCAGTGACATAGCAGATGGTGAGGCCTGATGGGCTTCCATTTCAACTGAAAAAATAAAAATTTGTGTCTTCTATCTCATTCAAGCTATGTGAATAGTCAAGCAGCCAGGTGAAGGGAAAATAGAGAATGAAGGGGTGGAAGTACCCTGCAGTTGCAGGCCTTCTTGCCTTGCCACTTAGCTCTCTCACAGTTGGGATCCACATAGGGAGGCAGTGCAGCATAGTAGAAAGAGGGCTGGATTTAGAGTAAGAGGACCTGAGTCCGAATTTCAGCTCTGCTACTTGCTATCCTTGGGACCTTGGCAATTCACTTAACTTGTCTGGATCTTTGTTATGCTCTCTACAAAATGACAGATGACCTATAAAATCCCTTTCAGCTCAAAAATCTTCCATTCTATGGCTTCGAGAATTAAATCTAGGCAGTTGCCTAATGCAAATAAAATTAAAGGACTTGTGGTCTTATACCTAATGTCAGAGCTGGGATTTAAAGAGAAAATAATCCTTTCTTACCTCACAGGATTAGTATAAAAGGAAGCAATATACTTGACAATCACTTTGGGGGTAAAAAACATTGAATAAATTTAAGGAATTATAATCTAGATAAATCTCTTAACTATTTCTAGACTGGCCCCATTTCATTGTAATGGGAAGCTCCCTTTCCTAATGTATCTCGGCACCTGTTCTGTGATTTATAGCCTGAGATAACTGGTACATGAGAGCTTAAGTGACTTGCTCATGGTTACATAGGTACTCTAAGTCAGAAGCAAGATCTGAATGCAGGTTTGCCTAACTGCAAGGTTGGCTTGATACTCACTATGCCAGTATTGTATAAACTAGATGAGCCATTATTACTATAGCTCCTTTGCTAAACACATTACAATAATTTCTTCAAATAGAAATCTCTAGATAATAGTTATTAGAAGGTATTTATGAAATGTCATTGAAATTCAATTCCCACTCCTTAAGATAAATTATGAAATTAGATGAATTTGGCTAGATTGCCTTTAGAAAGTAGTACAGTTCTTTTAATCATCCCAAGTTTCTATCTGAAACAATGGCCTATATTTCTTTAATGCCAATATTCTTCTGGTATTGCTGTATTTCTGTAAATCAAAGAATACTTCACTCTCCAAATAAATCAAATTAAGATTTTCTGGAAGGGTAATGGAAAGGAGCAAAGATAGTGTGAGTAGGTTCCAATATACTGTAAATGAAAAATTGCACAGAAAAAGCAGGATAAAAGAATGCAACCAAAAACGTGTAAAAAAAAAAATTGGGCAATTTCATAGGAAGAGTAAGGATTAATTGATGGGCATCCTTCATGATCCACTGGTCCTCCTACTCTACCCCCCCAGTACACAGGTTGACACCTGGTGGTAGATTTATGGGAAAGCTAGAGCTGTATAGGATGGATGGCATGATTAGATTACAGTCCTCTACTGTTGGATACCTTTGTCAGTGAGATGTGATCTATGGAGGCAACACAATAGATAGCAATTCATTAGGAGTCAGAAAAAAACAAACAAACAGTTTTAAATTCTACCTCTGACATTTATTAGGTGTGTGGATTTGGGTAAGTCAGTTACCCTGGGGATAAAATAGCCTATCTCATCAGCTTGTATCAAATGAGATAATATGAGTACTTGGTAAAGCTTGGAGCTCTTTATTAATGCCAAATATACATAGTAAAAACAATTATGTTGGAGTACACAGTACATGTAACTTATCTTAATAAAGAGAATCAATAACTATTAATATTTTAATTTATAATTATTAATATTTTTGCTGATGATTCATTTTAAAAGAAGCCTTAAGCAATATTGTACATTTTCAAGAGATTAAACAAAATTTGATGAAATATGCAGGTAATAGAGAGACAAAATTTTTTTCCCTCACTTTGAATCAGGTTTATTTCAACCACCAAAACTTAAAAAATAATCATGTTAATACATAATTAATTACACAGGTTAAAAAAAAAACTCGATAATGTTTCTTATAAATGATTTTCGTGTTATGTTGTTTACTGAGTTATTTTAGGGGGGAAAAAAACTGTGCACTTGGCTGCAAAATGGAGAAAACTCACAGCAAAAAGTCCTATTGTTCTATCTCTGTGGAATCAGCCACCCTTTGTCGAGGTCATCACCCCAGTCCCTCTAACATGAAATTTTAAATTGTAATGGAAAAGAGCAGATGTCATATCTACATCACTTGTATCCTTCTAGAGAACCCAAAATTTAGAGATGAAGCTGATTTTAAGTTCATTAGGGGAGTCCCTCAATGTCCCTGCAAAATAAGGAGCATAAGGGGAAGGGAGACCTCAATCAGGAGGTGGAAAAGGAGTTAACACTGTAGTGCTGCAGTCCCAAACACATGGCAGATCAGTTCTAAGCCCAGAGGAGCTGAGGCTCAGCTGCGGCTGGTCTGGATTCTAAGAGGTCAAGTCTTGCTTCTATACCATGGGTAATGATAAAAATAGCTGCTACAATACTAACAAAGCTGAATTGTACAGCTTCTAAAGAGAATATGAGTAATAGCATCTTTAACTCTTTCAGTTATAAAGATAAAATATATAACACACATACATATTCTACAAATCACAACAGTGGGGAAAAAACAAGGTTTTATTTTGTTTTCATACTACAGTGACAAAAAGTCACTAATATACCAACAAAGCTGAATGGTACAACATATTTCAAAAGATAAAAGAGAACATAGTCAACATTTGTTTTTACTTTCTTTTAACTTTGTAAGGTCAAAATATACATATACATTCTACAAACCACAAAGACATATTTAGAAACACCAAAGAAATTAAAGTACAGCCCCACAGTCTTAAGGACTTTTTATAGGAACCAATAGGTGGAAAACTCCATCCATTAGATATTGCTTAGGGCAGCCACCCCAGGGAGGACTTTGCCTTCCAGAAGCTCTAGACTGGCACCACCCCCAGTGCTCACATGGCTGACCTTATCTTCAGTGTTCCATTTGGCACAGCAAGTGGCAGTATCCCCACCACCTATGATTGTGATGCAGCCTTTAGTGGTGGCCTCTACAACATTGTTCATTAGCTTTTTTGTTCCCTGTGCAAAGGTTTCCCACTCAAACACTCCAACAGGGCCATTCCACACAATTAGCTTGGCCCGGGCCACAACTTCAGCAAATTTCTTGCTGCTTTCAGGACCACAGTCCAAACCCATCCATCCAGCAGGTATGCCAGACTGCACGGTGGCTTCACCAGCATTGGCATGCTCATCAAATTTATCTGCAGTGACAAAGTCAACAGGTAGGGTTATCTTCACGCCCTTCTTCTCAGCCTTAGCCATCAGGTCTTTAACAATCTTGGATCCCTCTTCATCAAATAGAGAATTGCCAATCTCCATGTTGGAGACAACCTTAAGGAAAGTGAAAGCCATCCCACCACCAATTATCATTTCACAGACTTTATCTAGCATGTTATTGATCAGCTGAATCTTGTCTGCAACTTTAGCTCCACCCAAGATGGCCAAGAAAGGTCGCACTGGGTTCTCCAGGGCTTTAGCAAAATACTCTAGCTCCTTCTTCATTAGGAAACCACATGCTCTCTGGGGAAGATTGACTCCAACCATGGAGCTGTGGGCCCGGTGAGCAGTGCCAAAAGCATCATTGACATAGACATCCCCCAGCTTGGAAAGGGAAGCCCGGAAAGCTTCTACTTGGGCTGGATCTGCAGTGATCTTTGCCCCAGATGCATCTTTGCCTTTTCCTTCCTCTTCCACATGGAAGCGGAGATTCTCCAGCAGGAACACAGAACCATGAGCAGGGTTTGCACAGGCTTTCTCCACATCAGGTCCCACACAGTCCTTCAGGAACTCAACATTTTTGCCAAGTAAGGATCTGAGCTCGGCCGCCACAGGCTCCAAAGAGAATTTGTCTGGCATGGGAATGCCATCGGGGCGGCCCAGGTGGCTCAAGAGCACAACCGACTTGCAGCCATGATCCAGGCAGTACTTGATGCTAGGGATGGCAGCCTTGATCCTCTGGTTGTTGGTGATCTGGTTGTTCTTCATGGGCACATTGAAGTCCACCCTCATGACAACCCGCTTTCCCTTCACATCTACCTTGTCCAAGGTGAGCTTTTGGGAAAGGGACATCTTCTCGGGGGCACCGGGAGCAGGAAGGCCCACGGGGCTGCTTCGGCTGGTTCTGCTGCAACCTACTTCAAAAGAAAAGTAAAACACAGCCAACAGCTTTTTTGACTTCCTGTTAACGTTGTTTCTAAGGTCAAAATATGCACATGTGTTCTACAAATAGCAACAATGTGTTCAGAAACACGAAAGAAGCTGTTCAAGCGGGGTCCTGCGGCCTGAAGGACAGTGCAGGCAACCCACAGGGGCTCAGGATCTTCCGGAGACCCTCCTCGGGCGGCAGCGGCGGGGACTGAACCCGCGGAGGCGGCGGCGGCCAACCGTAACCCGACGGCCGTTCACCCTGCCCGGGCTCGCGCGGGACTCAGGCCCGGCAGGCCGGCTCCAACCTCGTCAGGCTCGCGGAGGGAGCTCGCATCATTAGCCCAGCTCTACCTCCATTCCCCCCACCTCCCCAGGGGCCTACACACACAAACCGACAACCTCACCCGCTCAACCACGCCGGCAGCCAGCCACACTCAGCTCTTCTCGCGGATGCTGAGCCAGCAGAGCGCACTCCCGCGGACGCCCACGAGAAGGCGGGGTCCAGGCGGGAGGTGGGGCCAGGGCCTGGTCGTGCGCGTGCCCTGGAAGGCAGTGGGGGAGGGGCGGCGGCTTAGTTCCGCGCGAAGGGCTTCGCGCTGGGGCTGCCGCCTCCCGCGCTCCGTAGTTCTTCCGTCTGGCGCTGGCGACTTCTCTCTACTTCGGAGCGGGTGAGTAGTGGAGACTTTCAGCTGCCGAAGGTTGGGGCGCAGTGACCTCCATAGTCAGCATGCTGGCCGAGCTCCTGCCTAGTCCCCTAAGTGCTCCCTCGCTCCTAGGGCCCCCCCCCCAAGGCGCCTAGGGGAGCCTGGGCCGAACCCCGCAAACCAGCGCCCTCCGCCAGCTCCGGCTTCTTCCTTGATCTCTGGAACTGTCATCCTTTCCTCCTTTCTCTCATCTTTCCTAGCCTTTGCGCCTTTCCTTCCTACTTCTTTCCCTCATTTCCTCTTTTCTTTCCTTTAATCTTACTATCCTTTCCTCCCTCCTTTTATTCTTTCCTCTTCTCCTTTCTCCTTCCTTGACATTCTTTCATTTTCCTTTCCTTTAATTCTTCCCTCATTTCTTTAATTTCTAATCCTTTTTCCTTCCTCCTCCCTTGATTCCCTTTCCTCCTTTTCCCCATGCCTTTACTTTCATTCTTTTCCTTTCCTCTTTTCTCCCCTTCCTTCTTACACCTCTTTTGTTTTTCCTTCCCTTCTTTCCTTCCTGTTATCTTCTCTTCTTTCATTCCAGTTTGAAAAACGTTAGTGATAGGCAACTAAATATCTCCTGAAGTAGTCCCTTCAACTTTTGGAATTGTTAAGAGAGCTTTTATCTTAAACTGAAATCTTCCTCCTTTTCTTCCCTCCTTTTCTCTTTGCTGTCTCTTAGTTCCCTCCCTCCCATCCTCAGATCTCTGTAGCAACCTTTCACCTCCCTAAGGCACACCTGGTCTTCCTACCCCTTTATGAAACTCAGTTTTGAGTTGTTACTGCCTTCCCCCCTTCCTCTAATGGACCAGTGTTCGTAGTATTGAGAAATATCTCTGTGTTATTGCAGTTATATATGACTTTAGCTAATTGGGAAATTGAGATGGCATCCCCATAGTATTCAGTTTTGGAATCATTAGGTGACCAACTCTTGGAATCTTGTTCCTAAGTTGAGAATTCCCTAGTGAATAGAGAGGGAAAGGTTATGACCCACAGCCAGTTTCTTGTGGCTAGCATGAACATGTTTTCCTCCCTCAAAATTCGTGGCAATAAATAGTACTAAATTGCAATTGTGCAGAACAAGCCACTAACATTTATCAAGTAGCAAGAATGTGCAAGGCACTGTGGATGGGACAGTTAAGGTCTTGTTCTCTAGGAGCTTATACCTAATGGGGGGGTAGGCTTCTACACAAATATAGTATCTTTTGGAATGAGGAAAAATGCATAGGAAGGAACAAACTAGAAGCTTGAGAGACTGAGGAGGGGAAATCAAGTGCAGATCACAACCTTTTCATTTTAGAAACAAAGGAGTTAATAAATGGCATTAAAATTTGAAACAAACCATTAAGTGATGACTCAACCAGTTTGTTTAGGTTTTTTCAATGACCCAAAAAAGGTGATAATGATCTAGATAAGTGATAACATATAATATAATATAATATAATATAATATAATATAATATAAATATAATATAAATATAATATTAATATAAAACAAAAATATGCCAAAAGAGTACAAGTGCCTAAAGAGATAAAGGGAAGTCTCACCAAAGATTTGGCACTTAACTTGGATAGAAAGAATTTCAAAAGAAGGGAGAAAAGACAATAATATGTGGTGTAGCCTATAGAGAGAATCCCATTTTACAAAAGGAAATTAAAAAAATACCTGTAGGCAACAAACTTTCCTTTATTTTAAATCTTCTCCATCTACTAGCTCTTATTGATTTGGCTTCCCCAAGATGACACAGCCTCCTCGGCCACCTTTCTAGTACTGGAAGTACATTCACTTCCTCTTCTCACTTCCGAAGGAGAGTTGGAATACTCTGTTCCTCGTTGCCAATTCCAGACTCTTCTCCCTTTCTTCACCACTCAGTGACCTCTCTTCCTTTGAGGTTCATGCTATCCATATCTACCAACCAATCAAAATCCAAGGGCAGCTAGGTGTGCAGTGGATGGAGCACAGTATGGACATAACAGAAGTTAGAATCTGTCATAGGACTTCACAGTCATGGGAATGGATTGGATAGGGATAAATGAATGGCTTTTAATAGACTCTCCTATCTTGATAATCTTATGCCTTTGTATATTATTTTTGTTTTATTTTATTTATTTCCTTAGTCAAGTTTTTGTTTTTTTTTAAATCCTGGCCACATCTCATTTGAATTTAAGAAAGGAAAGGATTTGTTGAAACCCAGGTGTTCCAGAGGTTCAGAAAGTCAAGCCTACTCCTGAGACTTAATAGCAGTGAAAGAGCAAGAACTAAAGTGTATCTCTGAGAGAGGGATTTGGGTGTGTAGCTTCAGAAACTGCTCCCAGCCTCAGAGACATGCTTATTACGTAACGTAGTGGCTTGTATGTATGACATGATATATGTGAAAGGCTTTCTTTGTTGTCTCAGTTTGTTGACCCACGTAGGTTTCTGAAATTGAATGTTTTGAGTGATTCTGTCTTTCAATTCCCGAAGCTAGTTATTAGGGACTCAGAGGTATATGGCATATTATCACTCGTGGTTGTTTTCTGCTCTTCATTCTCTAAGAGGACCATGACATCAGAAAGGTGATGTAATGACATGCAAGTGAATTGGATTTAAGTGAGAGAGGGCTGTGCAAAGTCACCATCCTCACTTTGTCTTCCAGAGCCCTCTGGGTTAAGGGGCAAGATACAGATCAGGATGACTGGAGATGGTCCTATCACTTGTGGTAGTGGAAAGGTAACAGTGCAAAAGAAGGCTATCATCTTGTGAAGCTTTCATTATCTAGGTCTAGCTTCTTGGATTGTTCAGAGCTGGAGTTCTTGCATAGCCATCTCAAACTTCAGTTCCTCTTTCTCAGGAACTGCTGTTAGTTTCAGATTATGGGGTCTCTTTCTTTATAAAGAGGCTAGTAGTAACAGCTAGCTAAAGTGCTTTAGTGAACATTTGTATAGTTCAGTTCAGATAGTCCTTTGGAGGCCATACTGACACACAGTTGGTCCTTTCAAATGTAAGCTTTATCCACTTTGCAAGGATTTCACTTATTTATTTATTGCATTAATATTAATAAAATGAGTCTATAGTTCTCTTTCCCTTTTTTGCCTTCCCATGTCTTGAATAGAAGAATCACATTTTTCCCTTAAAAGGAGTTTATTAGAATGTCCTCTACAAATTATTGAGAATTTTAGTGATATAGGTTTTAATTGCTCTTAAACATTTGATAAAATTCACTTTTAAATCTGTTTGGAACAGGGTTTGTTTATTTTGGTAGCTCTGTTTATGACTTGCTTAAATTTTATTTCTGAGATTGTTTCATTTATTTTCTCTATCATTGTGTTAATTAGGATGTTTTATAAACTATTTTCTATTCTGTTTTTTTTTTTGGCCTTTAGTTGTATTTAGTAGTTTGATTTTCAAAAATTAAATAATAAATAAGTAACTAAATAAAAACATACATTCACTGTTTTCTTTGAATTTAACCTGTTCTCTTTTTTAAATTTTGGTAATTTGTTTTCCTCACTTTTTTGATCAAGCTAGTTTATGGCTTATCAGATTTGTTAGTCTTTTTTTTTCTTTTTTGACTAAGCAGTGGAGTCAAGTGACTTGCCCTGGGTCACACAGCTAGTAAGTGTCAAGTGTCTGAGGCTGCAGTTGAACTCAGTTCCTCCTGACTCCCTGGCCCATGCTCTATCCACTGCACCACCTTTGCTGCCCCCAGATTTGTTAGTCTTTTTTTTTTTCCTAGCCAGAGACAAGGTTTATTAGAACATCTGTCATATTGGGCAGACTCTTAAGGAGTCTGAACATTAGTGAGCTATTGGCTAGATTTTAAGAATCTGAACAATTGGGGGGGGCAGCTAGGTGGCGCAGTGGATAGAACACCAGCCCTGGATTCAGGAGGACCCGAGTTCAAATCCAACCTCGGACACATAACACTTTACTAGCTTTGTGATTAAGTGACTAGCAAGTCACTTAATCCCACTGCCTAGCCAAAAAATAAAAAAATAAGTAAGAATCTGAGCATTTGGCTAGATTTTAAGAATCCGAGCACCTTAATGGAGATGAGATGGACCTCATATACAGAAAGACTGTGGAAGGGATCTAGAAGTGACCAAGTAGTTTGGGGTGACTGGAGGAGGGGTCTAAGGGATCTGAGGAAGATCTTAATGGGAGTGGCCAGTAAGCTGGGGTGAGCAGGAGACCAGGGACCTGGACCACATGGCCAAGGGAGAATGGAGTCTAGATAGGATTAAGGGTGGGAAGTGGCCAGGGGCAATTGGGATGTAACCAAACAGAATTTGGAGATTGGTTGTAGCCATAATGAAAGGCTAGTTGATAGGATAATAGCTTCTGGTGAATGCCAGAGATTTGGCCAGGTGGGGAAATCCCGGTTTCTTCATTTTGGGGTCCAGATCCCAAGACATGGTCTTTTCCTTTTAGGGGTTCAGACCCCATCCCCATCATTCCCCCCTCAAAGGGGACCCAAATTCTTTTGGGGTAGCAGATGAACATCCTGGCTTTTGAAAGTGCTTCCTGCTGGCAAGGGGTGTAGAGCTGTCCCTGCCTTGACAGGGTTCTAAAGAGGTTGACTGGAACCAAGGCTGCATCCAGGGGATGATGGGGGGACATTGACTGGTACCCACTGTTTGCTACCAACTGTAGGTGAATGGCCTGTATTCTGGAAGACAGAAATCTGACAGAAAAGACTGCAGAGCCCAGATATAGGGAGAAGTAAACGTGTAAGAGCCCCATTAAAATCATTTACATTTGACCTGCCAGATTATTTGATCTTGTGACTTTTTCTAAAGTTTAAGTAACACTTTTACAGGTAGAAGTTTTCCACCTGGGTTCAATAGTTAACACAAATGAATTTTCTGGGGACTGCCTTTGACTTCATTTATCACTGAATCCTCCCCAAACCAAACTGAAGATGTTTCTGATTTAATTTCAGTTATTTGGGGGTATTGAATGACTATTTAGGTTAAAATAGCAAGATCTCACACACTTGCATT